AATAATGTAACAACGTACATAACATTCGAGGAATAAGTATAGGCTATATTTTAGCCCCAAGTCTCACTCTTTCATTATCATTGGATCGTCTTTATCCATTGAATGATGTACACAGTCACGTGATTAATGTTGAGAAATTACTAGCTCGCTCGCTTCGCTCGCTCGCTCTTATCCTAAGCATTACTGTTATAGCGTACACGGTTTTTATTGCATGGCTTAGCAAAAACAGCATAGAACAGCAGCTTTTGCTTAGATTAAATTTCATTGTCTGGACTAGCAGACTTTGCATAGATTAGACCAATTTTCCGGTAAACGCGACCGGTCTTCTCACTCGGCGTTTCATCGTTGCTCTACGCATTTCGTCTTCAGCAGACTGCCGTTCTTGTAGAGTGCTCAATGGCTCAACCCGACCAGTTGGGAAATACTTCTCCTGCTGGTATTCGAAACTGAAAGCGTTAGAAATCATTTCTCGGAAACTGAACTGGAAACAGTTCACTCACAAGTCCGTCTCAGGTTGGTTCAATATAAAGCGCTGAGCATCGTTCATCTCGTTGCCATCGTTGGCGACCAATAAAATCCTGCCTGGATCGAACGAGTACCTAAGAGTAGCACGTATCGATTTCCCCCACTTCTGTTCCTCCAAGACCACAGCCCTGAATCACTTGAAAAAGCAGGCGGGCCCATCTTGAACCGGTTTATTATGATGATGCTCACATCGATTATATCATTCGGGCAGCAATAAGCTCATACTATACAAGTGATTTCTCAGCAGTGGAGAGAGGGTGAACGAGAAGAGCGTTGTGCCCGAAGCATGATCGCGTCCTATGTTGACTCAATTCACGTGAGTGACTCAGTTCGAGCGACGGAGGAGTTCCAGGATCTCTCTGGAAGTCAGAGGTTGACCATACCACTTGGAAGAATTATCGTAATTAACCGGCGTCGAAAAATACAGAAACGAGCACGGAGCGATTTGAGCGGAGCCCCTCTCACTCACACATTCACCTTTCCTAAACCGCCGAGTGTCAGTCTACTCTTCCAAACGTCAGCTAACTGGTCAGTCCCGAGTTTGCGATACTTCAACGACCACTCCTGAGACGAGCATCCAACAACATATAGGTAGTAATAAACTCACCAACTTGAGCGTCACGAATGCCATTATTATTCCGGCTTCGGTCGTCTTAGCTAGATAGTCGTATGGATTGATCGACTTGCTTTCCCCCTGAAGTGTGCTGCATCCTTTCCAGGATTCGTAGCGCACGAATAATTTCACACATTTCGAAGTTCTTCTCTCGCTTTTTCATAAAGTTGTTCCGGATAGGCAGCGTCTACAACATCGAGCTGCTCGAGAGGCTCCACTAGATTTTCCGACCCGCGATACCCAGACACTGTGACAACGTTGATCAGAAGCGGCAACATGTTTTTAATGCTCATTGATTTTGCAAGAAAACCCGCTGAGTGATACACGTTCACCAGTATGGGGAAATATGCACATGGTCAACCACATACATGTGTTGGTGACACTATAGAAGTTCTGAGAAAATTTCGTGAGATGCTTATTGGTTTCGCACCGAAACTTGAAGTACACCTCTTCCCAAACTCATCTATGAATTTCCATAACATGGTGAGAAAACTTCTGAGATCAGCTGAGAAGACTCGTCAACTAGCTCGCGCATCGCGAGTCGCAATTGCAGGACATCAGTATATGGACTCCGAGTCAGGCTTGGCTGCTTAACGGATTGTATTCGGCTTGTATTTGTATTCTCTGTATTCACACATTTGTTTCTATGTTGCAACGCCACACATTGTGGGTGTCGAAATATCCTTATGAACTTCGATTATCATGTCGGTTATCTTTCTCCAATTCCTGCATACGTTTCTTCATCGTCTGCACTTCCATGGTTAATTCGCTTCTTTGACTCTGGAGTGATCGGCCTGAGGACGAACTCGATCTATTCAGGATGGAGTAGACAAGTTTGAGAACTCATCTGGAAAAATAACGAGATAGATCCAGATGTGATGGCGATATGATGATATGATATAAATGGTCTCGTACCCAAGATAAGGGAACTTCAAGGAATGTATGTTCTCCTCATGCAAATTCACGATTCAACACTGAGTAAATAGTGTTCCACGCTGAAACGTCAACAAGTCTTGGATGTAGTGGTGACCTTTCACAAGTTGTTTCCTCTCATCCCGCGGCCCAAATACAACTTAAAACCGCATGAACATCTCACTCAAATTCTCGAGAGCTTCTCGTTGAGTCGTTTCTTTTCGAATTCTCTGTTCCATCACCCCACGATCACGTTTGAGTCGGTCCACTTCCGATCTGATCATTGCGACACACACTTTCTTCACCTTTCTACATTAATCGTGCTTCCAGTTATTCTTGTTCTCTATTTTCAGATGATTGTCTACATCAAACGAATATTTTGATTGTGTCAGCTGACACAGATATCTGTCCCCAAAGCGTGCTGGCTGTAGCGTTGCTGATATAATCGATCAGTGCAGTCACAATTTAGTGAGTCAATATTTCAAAATAATGACTGAAGAACTATCCCCAGAGGTTTTACAAGACTAATGACCCTCTTTTGTGCATCGTTGGAAAGTTCCGACTTCACGAGAGTCACA